TGGCTTTATGATGGGAATAATATGCAATGGTTTGGTAACTTGCAAAAGCAAAGTATTCTTGATTTTTACGTGTTTATCCCACATTTCTAATACATTAAAAATGTCAATTTTTCTTTTTAATGCATTCTTGTCCCCTTTTGCTCTCTCAAATCAGTTCAGCTGTAATATACTTGTCTATGGTCCTGCCAATAAAGTCTCTCTAACGTGAAGAAAATTTTCCTGAATTGCACTGGGGAGAGAGAGAGATTGATTTTTAAGTTTTTATCCCACATTTCTAAAACAGTAAAACTTGCCATTTTTCTTTTTAATGCATTCTTGTCCCCTTTGCCCTCTCAAATCAGTTCAGCTGTAATATACTTGTCTATGGCCTTGCCAATAAAGTCTCTCTAACGTGAAGAGAATTATCCTGAATTGCACTTGGGAGAGAGAGAAAGGTGGAGAAAGAATGAGAGCCTGCCAGAGAGATGGAGAGAGACATCAGTGTTCTATTGATTTCCCAGCGAACGGTGTGATTGGCTCTTCCCAGTCATTATGGAATAGAGATAGAGAGGAATCTCACCTCTGCACTGCCTGATCAAACTCTACGGGAAATCCTCTTCCAGGAAACCCTCCTTCACTCTGTCATGCATTTATCTGAATTGAAAGTGTGAATGTTCACTAGAGAGTTTCTCAGTCATTCATTTATCCACTTTGAGCTCATTTTCATCCTCTCATCTACCCACACGAGGCAATTTCACCAGTATCATCCTGCTTTGAAATTCCATACAATTTTGCCATTCATTTGTGATCCTGGCTTGTTCATCTACTTCTCCACAGGCAAGCCGGTTATGTGAGAGAAAGAGAGAGAGAGAGAGAGGGAGAGAGATGGAGATGAGGGCTCATTTTAATGCAGTATTTGATTTTAGATGTTCAGCAAGTCATTAAACTGATAATTGAGACGTTCTGTTCATATTATCCCTCTCTTCCTGTCTCCCTCGCACGCCTGGGCCGGTCGGAAACTCTGGTGTTGGTTTCTGCGCTTCTGGACACTCGCACGTCGAAGAAAAGGAATTGCGCAGGTCACACGCGTGGACTGTCACAGCTCTGCGGAGTATGACGTCAGCGTCTCTATAAAATAATGAAATGGCCATGGGCTCTGTTTCCAAACACTAGAAACTGAAGGTACACTGGACCACACTTCGCAGACTGAAATACAGTTGCCTGAATATTTTCTCAATCCGATAGGCTGAACTACTTCGGTGTGGAATGATGTAACCGGGCGCATTCTGGGAATACCGGAACGCTCGCAGTACAGTCTCCTGACCGGTAGATGTAACTGTCTCATCCGTGTCAGTGATGAAGACAGTGTTGACGTGCGTGCACAAGCTGGGATGATAACACTACAAACATACTGTATCTTTTTATTTACCGCATAAAAAGATTACTTTTCCACTGTCTAATCTGTGTCATGGTTTATTCAGGCTGTGGGCTGCTGACATTAGACACAAGTATGTAGTGATTTGGGCCGGAAGTGTCCTGCCCCAAGGCTCCGGTTGGCTGCTCGAGCCACCGCCACGGTGACCGAGTCGCTGCTCTCTCGGGGTATCTGCCTCTGCCTCTCGTGCAGTCGTCCATGTTTAACCCCGTGCGTCCCCCGCACCGCACAGTGAGTAATCCGCGTGCAGAACTAATCCTTAAATCCTCTCGCGAGTCGCAACGCCCTCCCCTCCCTCCTGCCATCCTCTTCTCTCGCGCGGGCCTCCCGAGCAGCCGGCGGGGTCTCCAGAGCCCGGCTCGCGCGGGGACTCTATTCACAAGACCACACCTCGCGCCTCCACCAGCCTATATAAAGGGTCGACCCTCACGAAAATATTTCACCCCGAAAATTTGGATTAAGAAGATTGAACATATTTTCAGGACCATGAAGATTAATTGTGACATTATTTTCATGACAACTAAGCCTTTGAAAATTTTTTTAAATAAAAAAAGCTATTTATCTCAAAGACTGAGTCCAGACGTTTTGTAATTCACATAACTCTTAATGATGATTTTATTTACTGTAAACAGAAATGTTATTTAATTCCGTGTAAGTTAATAAAATATATTTTCTTTTGAGTTAAATATTTAAAACAGCTATTTATTTATTTACTTGGTTATAGAAATTGCACAATTAGTGTGTTTTCTAAACATTAGGTAAATTAAATAATTTAATGTATTGTTTGCATATTTACTCATTTTTCTAGATAAAAAAATTTTGCATTTTGAACTTCAAAAATACTAATAAAATCAATTTGTATATACAAATATAATAAATTATGTTCTTTATTGTTTTCGTCTAATGTTTAGTCAGAAACACAAACAAACAAAAGGTTAATATATTAAAGGGGTCATATGATGCGATTTCAATTTTTCCTTTCTTTTTGGAGTGTTACAAGCTCTTGGTGCATAAAGAAGATCTGTAAAGTTGCAAAGACTAAAGTCTCAAATCCAAAGAGATATTCTTTATAAAAGTAAAGAGTCAACCACGCCTACCTAAAACGGCTCGTTCTAACACGCCCCCACATGTCTACGTCACGATGTGCGAAGATTTGCATAACACCGCCCAAATGTTGGTCTTCCAAAAGAGGACGATATCTGCTTCGTCATGCCTAGAGCTGATCTGTGCTGGTCGCTGAGGAAATACTACAACTTTGCATTGTGGATCACCGGATCGGCTTTCACCGTGGAGAAAGCGGAGTCCAGCCCGGAGTCGCACCAAATACACAAAATACTGTTCTTTTTAGCAGCATCATATGACCCCTTTAAATATAAAAGTTATAAGTTTCATGAGATTCTTCTAAAACGGACTAGGCCACGAACTTTACGCACTACTAACATAAATAATTTTATCAACAACAACATCAACAACACTAATAATAATAATAATAATAATAATCTCTCAGGCAGTATGGTCTAGCCCTGTTATCCAAATGGTACGGCCAAATCGTATTAA